ATTCCCACCCTCTGTCTTCTGTTCTTTAACCAGTTAGTGATCCAGAAGAAGACCCTCCTCCTTTTATTTTAGGACTGCTTATATTGCTCAGGAGGCTTTGGTGAGGGAGTTTGCCAAAAGCCTTTTGGAAACCCAAGTGAACAATGTCCACTTGATTGTCCCTGTCCACGTATTTATTGGCACTCTCAAAGAACTCCAATAGGTGGGATAGGACTCCCCCTCACTGAAGCCATGCTGACCTTTCCCCAGCAAGGCTTGTCCCTCCATGTGCTTACTGAGTCTATCTGTAGCAGCACTTTCAAGCATTTTACCCAGAACAGATGTTAAGCTAACTGGCCTGTAACTTCCCGGAACACCCCTGGATCCCTTTTGTAAAATTGGTGTTACATTGGCCATTCTCCAATCCACTGGTATTTGTGCTGACTATAGGGACAAAATAAATATTTTGGTAAGAGGGTCAGCAATTTCATGCTTGTGTTGTTTGATATCCCTGGGATGGATACCCTCTGGACCTGGTGACTTGCTCAGTTTCAGTTTGTCAGTAAGGCTGAGAATGTAATCTTTTGTTGCTAATATTTAATTCCTCAATCTCCCCTTCCAGCAACAGGTATCTGTTCTTCATCCTCTGCTATCAAGACTGATGAAAAGAATTCATTCAGCTTCTCTGCAATCTTCTTCTCTCCCCTTAGTACTCCTTTAATTCCTTCATCTTTCAATGGTCCAATTGCTTCCTTATCTGCTTCCTTTGGCTTATTTAAAGAATTCTTTATTGTTAGCTTTGGTATTGTTAGCAGTGTTATCTTCAAACTGTCTTCTTCGTTCTCTGATTGCCTGCTTGCATCTCCCTGATGCAAATTTTTGCTCCCGCCTGCTCTTTTTCATTTGGGCAAGACTTCCATTTTTTTAAGGAACTATTCTTCTCCTTATTAAGTTCCTTGACTCTACACCCATCACAGCTGGAGTATGTTCTCATGTAAAGTGTTTGTACAAGACTATAACTAGAAGCGTGTGTCTGTGCTCTCCAAATATACCCAGATTCATTCTCTTTGTTGCCAGTTCTTACGTAATGGTATTCCAAAAAAAAAAAATAAAATCTGTCATAAATGCTAATGAAAATAAAACTTATTAGAAAAAATGGGTAAAAAGACTTCAAGCAGAACCTCCCTTTCAGTATGATGCCCAGATATTAAAGGAAGTAGTATCCTAATGTGTATACACAATGGTTCCTAGCTCCTGTCAAACAAGGATGTAGCAAAGGCTGGGTTCATAAAAAAGAACATGTAGTCTTCAATCACACATGATGGCTCTGTTCCAAAGCCCAGCAGTACTGGAAAATGATAACCTAAATGGTACAATCATTAGAGATGGGTCTGCTCCAGTTGGTCCAGCCCTGCCTATCGCTGCACCAAATGCCATGCTCCAAAATTGTATGATGTCATTCTGAACACAGCAGCAGAGGATGGGGTGATGGGTTGCCTCCCCTTCCTTTCCCATTCTTTGGGTCACCCCTGCAAAGACTGCTCGTTCTCAGGTAGACCTGGCTGAAACAGCAGGTCTGGTGAGTGGTCTGCCCTGCCCTCCCTCTCAACTCCTCAAGTCTGGAGAAAGTCCCTTGGGAGTGTTTCCAAGTCCAGGCTATAAGGTTACAACCACACTGTTCATTTGTCATGAGCTGTGACAAAAGGACAAGTTGGACATGAGGGGACTTGCAGGGTTTGGTGGCTCTTTATAGCCTTGTTGCCACTAGATTTGGTCTCTTAACTTCTGCAGACTCTAGGCAGATTTGGCATCTTTGCCAGTATGTCTGAAGGGTTTAGAACATTTGCTTCTGCACTGAGAGTATAAATGTGAATTTCTGGCGACCGTACAGGACACTGTTGCTTATTGTGTATGACTTTTGCATTGCTAATTGCATCTTTTTCCAGGAAACACTGAACTGAAAGTGCATACTTTTTGTTGTGTTTTCATTGTCCTATTATGTTTCATTGTGTCCAGCACTGCCTCCTCTCCATACTGATGCATCAATAGTAGGCATGTAGCTTTTTATGTTAGTGAGTATTCAAAATATGACAGCCTAACCAAGATTCTCCCACAACACTGTATGGGAGGCAGTGGGTAGACTCTTAAACTGGGCTGAGAAAGAAATGTGGGACTTTCACATTGCAGAATTGTGGATTTTATACTTAAGGTCTTGCATTTAGGTAAGCCAAATTTTAGAGTGGCATAAAATGACACCAGTATAAAATGGGATGAAGCCCCCAATTGTGGCACCTGAATAGGCAAACACTGAGTTAAATTCTGTCACACTCACACAGAAGCAGCAGTAGTCCTTCTATAGTGACAGATAGTTTTAATTGTCCATAAGGACATACACATTTCAAAACAAAAGAATCCACACTTCCTGTACCATGTTTCTCCATCAGGTTGGCTATGGCTTTCTGTCCTGAGGCTCTCCTGTTGCTGAAACTGCTCCATGAGAACTGCATTGAAAGTGGGGAGTTAGGGACAAGCAGGTTTTCCTCCTTCTTATGAAAGGGAGAGAAAAATAACCAACTTCCACAGTGCTCTGTGGGGGTTCAGTCTGGTTAGAATCCAGCACACAAAGATTCTAGGTATGTGCTGTAGAGGGCATTGCTATGGACAGCTGGGAAGAAGGGACACACAGCACATGGCCACTTTCAGCTTTGTCCCACCTGGATTCTTTGGTGGCGATGGCTCGCAGTGAGTGGGGAAATGCTAGCTGCAGTTGATGCCATCATGCATGCCAGTGGGCCAGGGGCCAGCACAAGCTGGTGCCTAGCCTGCTCCGTAATATATGTAAGCCCTTTGGAAAACACTTGGACACACTTGCCCTCTTGAACACAAGAGCTTTCCCAAGGCAGCCAACTGGCCTAGTACATCAGGGCAGGCACAGGTGTAACAGGAAACTACTTGGGCTAACCCACATAGAAGGGGGCATTTTGCTGTGGATCTTCTCAGACCCAGAGCCATGCCTGAACAGAGCAGTTAGGACACAAGGTACAGGTCTCTGGTTCAAGCCTCAGCTCAGCCATTAATTCACTGAGCTGTCCAGCCTTTGGTAAGCAACAGTCTCTGCCCGTAATAAGGGAGGAAAACAATACTGACCAACCTTCAAGTATGCTGAAGTGCTCTGGATGATTAGGGAGTTCTGCTACATAAATTCAACTCATTCAAGATATACTTTTTTGACCAAAGAAAACAAACCTTGAGCAGTCACTTTTCTCCTTGGAACAATTAAGGCAGCCTTCGCCAGGTTACTGATTTGGGCTCCTGTGCTCCCTAGCCACAGCCAGCACAGCCAATGTTCAGGAATTCTGAGAACTGCATATCTGGATGGTCCCAGGTGAGGAAGGCTGCACTGAAGGATGGAATCAAGGTAGTGGTTGGAGCTGGCTCCTTCCTCTATCCTCCACTGCTTCCACGTTGAAAATTCAGATGGTCAGCATCATCGGCAATTACAGGCTAATGGCCAATCAGCAAGGGGACACACTGGCTCAAGACCAGAAGAGCCCTCACTTGGATCAAGGCATCATAAACAAAAAGAATACTGATAATGGAGGCAAGATCAACTGCCCGAGTTCGACTTGGCCATAGACTGACGGGCAGGAGCCGGCCAAGGCACCTCCCAACAGTTCACACTGCTTTGACATCCTGAGAGAATGCTCACAGGCAGACATTGATCTGCTTGGAAAGTTCTTGCTCTAGGTCCAAAATGAGGGCATCAAAGTCCTTCAGGTTGAGCCTTGGGCTGAAGGGAGGAGCTTCTGGGTTCTCCACCAAGGCAAAGCCTCCCGTGAAGACGGTCTGGCTGTGGTGTGCCAGCCCTTCTCTCAGAGTCACCTCTTCCTTTGCCTCCTCTTCATTCTCACTTGCACTCCCTGCCACCTCATCATAGTCCAGGTCACAGCCCAGCCTGGGTCCTGCCAAGAATTGCTGCCCACAGACACTCCAGTCTCCGGCATACCGATTGCTGGGAGGACTTTCCAAGCCTCGTGGGCGGCTTCGGGCCACAACTGTGGCTGGCAGCAGCGGCAGATCTAAGGGTGGATGGCGCTGGCGCAGCACTTGACTGCAGGGTGTGATGTGCTCTTCGTCTTCCAGCCTCCTGCGTGGGGCTTTGGAACAAAGGAGAGCAAGTTAAGTGGCCCACAACCAAAGGAGACAAAACTCTGGGAGCAGTAGCTGAGGACTGCAGCAGGATGTGGCTTCACAGGAGACTGTACCTAAGTCTTAGAACAAGACTCCACATCTGCCCAGTCTGACCTGCAAGCAATCCAGTGCTAAGCTCAGGCCAGTGTGTCCCAAGCAGGGTCACATCACATGAATATCCATAGAAAAATTGCCTGAGCTGCGTACTCGGTAACAAAGTGTGCATCCACTTATACGCTTGTGGGTATGTTCAGCTATTTGCTTATTACTTCATATGAGAGCCAGTGTGGTGTAGTGGTTAAGAGCATGGGACTGGGACTCAGATGATCTGGGTTCTAGTCCCCGCTCAGCCATGGATCCAACTGGGTGACTTTGGGCCAGTCACAGACTTTCAGCCCAACCTACCTCACAGGGTTGTTGTGGGGATAAGCTGGAGTAGGAGATGTAAGCTGCTTTGAGCCCTTTGCAGGAAAAAGGCAGGAGATAAATTAAAAAATAAATAAAATAAATATGTTCCAAGGCTCCAATGACTTGCTAGCAGTAGGTTCTAGGAGTGAGTCAAGGGAGAGAACTGGGACCTATCTTCCTGTTGCAGACCTATTGGTGGACAGCATGGTGGCCAGTGCTGTCCAAGATATACAGATGAAAGGAATGAGCAGTTAGCCTTGCGGAGTCTGAAGGGAGATAGGATAGCACTCATCGAGGATGGGTTAGGACCACAGCACCTGATGGAATGCCTCTCCCGACCTCAACCTAGTCAGACTTTACAATCTGCATCCAGGGACTTCCTCCATCTGCCAACTCCAAGAGAGGCCTGGAAAGAGGCAAAAAGGAGGAGAGCCTTCTCAGTGGTGGCTCCCTGTTACAGAACGATCTCTCCTCTAAGTCCTGCTTGGCACCAATATTGTAGTCTTTTCAGTTTGGGAGTTAGACCCAATGGCCTTATTGGACCCGCTATTCTGTAATTCTATGATCACATGATTCTTGATAGAAGAATGTCCATTGTTGAATCAGCATGGCTTCTGCAAAGGAAATTCTTGCTTCGCCAATTATTTGAGAGCAATAATGAGTATGTGCATAGCAGTGCAGACAATATGTACTTGGATTTTTGGACAGCAACCCATATGTAACACAGTGAAACTTGGTTCTGAGTAGATGTACATGCAGTGGCACTGTCGGAATATTTCTAACAGGATCCTTTACTAACTGCTGTTAAGAAAGTTTAACAATCATAGGATAAAAATGGTGTGTGCTTTTACAGAGCAATGAAAGAAACAGGAAACCAAGGTAGGAAGAGGTGGATAATTTTCACTGTAAAACAATGGGATAAAAAGAGGGAAATAAGCAGTTCTACGGGTCTGTAAAGGGGCTCCTGCCATTCACACATGGTTTAGAATCAGGTATCAACAGGGGTCAGGTTTACAATGACATCCAACCACTAATAGTGAAATCCTATACTCCACAAGCAAAAATCGCTGGAGCTCCAAGAAATACCTCTCCAGATTGAGGAAAGGGAAGTGATGTAAACTGGGGCAACACCACCCCCTCCGACATATGGAGTGTGAATTGAATGTAATTCCCACGTAAAGGAGAGCTCTAAAAGTGGTGGTACACAGCCCATAAGCACATGGCAGGGATAAAGGCAAGTTCTCTGTTATGACCTATAAATAGGGGACTGAAAAGAAAACCATAATACATCTATATCACTGTTTGATGTGGTCATATTGTAAAATGCTATTGTTCTGGTCACTCCATCCACGGAGTTTTAAACATGCCTTTCTGTGTGTCTGGAGTGAAACTGATTTTTTTTAAGCTATGTGGCTCTCTCACAGGGTCACATGTCACAGGGACTTGTGGGGTCACTGTATTTGTATGCAAGATGGGTTGCCAACTGTAATGGCCTGTAGGCACAAAAACCTGTGCTTCTGCAGCCTGCAAAGTGTCATGTCTTCGAAAGCAGTTGGCTCTGCCCCTGGACACCTGCCCCTGCTCCAGCAGCCTGTGCCCTGCTGTGGACCCAGAGTTAGGAGCATTAGGAGCACAGCCAACCCCTGCCCGCCACAGAAATATATCTTAAGAACAACTGTTCTTTCCAAGATACATTGGGCTCAGTAAAAGTTTCTCTGGACCCCGCCAGAATACTTTCTCTCCTGATTCGTGATGCTGTGAGTGAATTTCCCCTTTGCTGTTTCTTTTACTGATGAAGAGTCTTCAGTTCACATTCTGTTTGTATGTACTTCCTTTTCCTAGTCAGAAAAAGAGAGGCCCTCAGAGACAGCCTCAAGGCTCACTTTGGATTCAGCAACCAAGGGGAAAAACCATCACATGCACACATTTATTCAGGAGGACAGCAGGAAACCCTTGGGACCCCTTCGGTACTGCCACACATTGTCCCTGCCCTAGATAATGTACCCAGCAGCCCATGCGAAGGGGAACACTTCCCCAACTAAGGGAAGATCAATTGTTATTAAGCCCAGAGCACCACATGCCTCCAGGCGGGCAGCCCCCACTGGGACAGTGCCCCCTCTCACCCGCTTCCCTCCCTCCCTCCCCACCCACGTTACTCACTTGGCCAGGCTTGCAGCAGATAATGCAACACTTCGATGTGGTGCTTGAAGTCCATGGTGCTGGCAATGGGTCGGTGGTGCTGGCTGGGGCTGTGGGCCCCCGGGCCCCCTGAGCCCTGGCTCAGCAACACAGGCCCAAAGCACACAGCAAGGTTCTGGGTGTGCATGCGGTTGGCGGGGTGGAAAGCAGCAACGAGGCTGAGGTGGTCCAGCAGCACTGTCAGGGTGGCCTAGAAATGGAGGAACACAGGCACGATTCAGTCCAGCTTTATAAATCTGCCCCAGCGTGAATATGGAAGAGACCATGGTCTTCACAGAGAGGGGAGGGGAAAGTCCTGGTGGTGTGGGGATACATGTCCACAAGAAAGGTGGGGCCTGAGATTGGAAGGACCTGATCATGGCAGGAAGGGAAGCCTTCCTGAATCTTCCAGGGCAGAGTCCAGTTACAGCCCCACAGCTCCTCTGTGGTCAGCCAGACCCATGGCATCTTGCAAATGGCCACCTGTGGCCCCAGCAGGTGGACTGAGCCAGGAATTCACAAACATCAGGGAAGGGGGGGATGTCAGGCCCAATCAACCAGTTAAAGGCATCATCCCTTGTCTGAGGCCCAGGCTTTCCTGGGACTCTCTTTCCCTGGGTCATTGTATTTAATTCTTCATATCGTTTTACTGTATTTTCTGTCTGGGAGAACAAGGTGAGGAAAGCTGAGAAAGGGTGGTGTAGGATAGACAAGGGGGGGTAGTGGGAGGGCCTGTGAGGGGTGGGCTATGTCAGGCCAGGAGACGGCCATGGCAGGAGCCACAAGTTGCTGTCAAATGTGACACCTGAGCCATGTTTGTCCAGCTCCCTCGGGAACAGCAGGGATACGCGTGCACTAGGTGCAAGCTGGTGTCCCTCCTAGAGGAGAAGGTGAGGGGTCAGGGAGTCTGGAGATGCCCTTGCCTCCCTCCAGGGGATAAGGGAGGGTGAGCGATTGCTGGACAGGGCCAAGAGAGTTCTTCAGGCCAACTGGGAGCAGCCCCCTTCTGGGCAGAAGGATGAGGGAGGGGCTGAGGGGGAAACAGGCAGGGACACCTGGAGGTATGTCATCCACAGCAGGAGGCGGCCGGCACAGCCTCCTCCGTCTCCTGGCACTGACCTGGAGGTGGGAAATAGGTTTTCTCTGCTTGTGGGGGGCTGGGGCCGATGATGACGTGGGGGACCGACCTGTTTGAGAACTCCAACCTGGGGCCAGATGCAGCCAAGGCATGGCCATCTACCTCCACTGGGAAGAGATGAAGGCAGGTGATCATTGTCAGGGACTCCTTGCTAAGGGGTACTGAGGTGGTGGTCTGCCACCCTGGCCTTGATGCAAGGGAGGTCTGCTGCCTGCCAGGCGCATGCATCCAGCACATGACAGAGAGACTGGAGCGTCCTCGTCTCTTGCCAAGTTCTCAGCTGCTTCTCCCAATTCACATGGGGACGATGACATGTCCAGGCTTGGGGTGGCTGGGATCGCTTAGGGACTCTGAGGCTCTGGGCAAGAAAGTCGAGGTCCTAAAGATCCAGGTGGTCTTTTCTTCTCTCTTGCCTGTCCAGGGATTTGGGCCAATCAGGGAGAGGAGGGTTGTGGAGACAAATGCCTGGCTCAGGGCATGCTGTGGGAAGAAACATTTCAGGTTAGTCAATCACGGCACCCAGTTCCTCACCAGTGGACTTCAGGGTTCAGGAGGGTATAACCTGGTGGGGAACATGGTGGGATGAAAGACAGAATTGGAATGTAAAATCAGAGGAGTATGTCCTCTTTAGAAAGGAGAGGAAGGGAAAGAGGGGAGGGGCTGTAGCATTATATGTCAGGGAAGGGGCAGGATGCAATGAGATAGAGGGTGGTGCAGATGGGGATCTGGTAGAGTCAGTCTAGGTAATACTGAAGGGTCTTGACAAGAGCAGGGACTTGACAGTGGGGGTATGCTATCGCCCATCGAGTCATCTTGAGACCCTGGATGATGCCCTGATGGACCAGATTGGAAGGATATCCTGGGGGAGGGACACAATAATTATGAGATATTAATCTCCCAGATATTAGTTGGGAGACTCACTCAGTGGTGGCAGCCAGGTCACATCACTTCCTAGATACTATGGAGGGAAGGATTTTCACACAGAGGGTCCAGGAGGTGATGTGGGGGGAGGTATTCTTGACTTGATTTTAACCAACAAGGAAGACCTGGTAGATGAGGTGCAGATTAGGGGAGCTCTGGATGCAAGTAATCCTGCCATCCTTTGCTTTGAGATTAGGGGAACGGGGACAAGTGGCAGGTCGAGTACTAGAAGCTGGGACCTCACAAGGGCCAACTTTGATCAATTGAAGGCCAGACTGGGGAAAGTCTCCTGGGAGAAGGTACTGGAATGCAAGGGAGTTCAGGAGCAGTGGATAGAGCCAAACAGGGAGGTCTTGGAGGTTCAAGCCTTGACCATTCCGATAGTTAGCAAGGCAACAAGGTGAAGGAGAGCACCACTGTGGATGTGAACAGAGGTGGTAAGAGGGATTAGATGTAAGAGCAACCTCCATCAGAAATGGACACTGGGGCAAGTGGACAAAAAGATAGAGTGAGAGAAGGAAGCTCATTGCAGAAGTATTCTTCACAAAGCTAAGGCTGATTATAGGCTGAGACTTGCAAAGAATAACTGGAACAACATAAAGGGCTTCTATTGACAAGTAAATAGCAAGAGGAAGGGGAGACAGGTGGTGAGACCGCTTAATAAGGAGGAAAGAGATTCGGTGGCTGATATAAAGGGAACAGGCATAGAGGCAAATGATTATTTTGCCCCTGTGTTCCCCCCAAAGCAGGACAGGGGAGATCTACATAGGGGACAGGATGAGGTCAGGGATATAGGGGCACAGGTTAGAGTCACCCATCTTGAGGTTGAGGTGCTCCTCAGGGCACTGGACTTTACAAAGGCACCAGGCCCCAATGGGTTACAGCCAAGGGGGCTTTTGGAGTTGGCAGGGGTACTCTCACGCAAGTTGGCCTTCATTTTTGAGACCATGAGGAGAATGGATGAGGTTCCAGAGGACTGGAGGGTGGCATCAGTGGTCCCAGTCTTCAAAAAGGGGAGTAGAGGGGACATGGGGAATTACAGGTCAGTTAGCCTTATGTCCATTCTGGGAAAGATGATGGAAAGACTCACAATAGCAAGAGATCTAGTGATGCTAGATAGGGAAGGGAGGTTGGCAGTCACACAACATGGCTTCTGCAAAAACAGGTCCTGCCAGAAAAACCTTGTAGAATACCAGGACAAGGTTTCAAGGTGGCTAGATAGAGGGGATGCAGTGGATGTGGTTTACCTGGATTTCAGCAAGGCCTTTGACAAAGTGCTGCATGGCATCCTGGTTGAGAAATTGAGGAGTTTTGGGATAGACCGATTTACTGTTCGATGGATTAGGGCTTGATTGATGGATCAGAAGCAGAGGGTAACTATTAGTGGGGAATCAGTGGGATGGCGGCCAGTGATGAGAGGCATCCCCCAGGGTTCTGTCCTGGGACCAATCCTGTTCAATCTTTTCATCAGTGACCTGGAAGAGGGGGTAACCAGTCTGCTGATGAAATTCACAGACAATACTAATATGGAGGAGGTGGTCACAACTGAGGAATAGGTACCCTGGATCCAGAGGGATC